GGACCTCAACAATTGGCTGACAGTTGGTAGACAGTGTGGAAACATCTGGAAACCGCTCACGAGCGAGTAACTGGCTATCGAGTGGTCTGAAAGGTGATCACATTATCCCGTCCGCTTTGGGTGACCGCGGGGAACACTTACCAAACTCCTTTTCAGTGTAACTGGCTATCGAGTGGTCTGAAATCATACTGAACTCCAGTTCAGAACTTTGATGATGGTTGGGTGCCTTATCACGAACTCCGCTTTATTTTCAAGTACTTAATGTGGGGACTTCACCGCGCTGTTTCAACAAATGAAAAGGGAGAGACCAAAAAAGAAGATTGGCGCACTCATACGAGAAAGGAAGGGTTGACTGCGTAGAGTTAGAGAGAAAGCGGGGGGGTTTGACGAGCAAGGGGGATTGAGAGTTCCGCTTGATCGAAAGAGAGAGTGTAGGATTTATAATTTCCTTTTGTATCCATGCTTTCCAGAAATAAAAATAATGTTATTCGTTAAAATATGACATTATATTGTGTCTTATTTCTAACGAATTCATTTGTGGTTGCAGCCTAAGCAAGATAGGCACGCCCATCCAGGGCTTAACCACATGCGGAAGTGTGGTGACATCCATACTTGTTAAACTGTATAAATGAGATCCCAAATGATGAAGCGTGCTGAGATCCATACTTGTTAAAGTTCATACACAAATAACGATAGGCACACCCGCCAATCCGGACACCATGTGCGAAAGTTTGTTGAAATCATTACTTGTTAAACTTCAAGTTCATAAATGTGATGAGCAAAGTGTTATGATTGCATCCTCCTTGGATAATATAATTCTTTAGGTTATCCCTAAAATGTACAAGCATGTTCATCCTCTGACCTTAGACGGTTCTTTGGATGTTCGACGAGATCCGGGGTAAGTCTTCTTTAGAGGACATGGGGTAACAACTTTAAGTTTATAAATGTGACGAACAAGGTGTCATAATTGAATCCTTGTTGGATAATACATCTATTGAGGTTATCCCTAAGTTATGCAGGCATGCCAATCATCTCGCTCGAGACGGTTGTTTAAATGTTGTTGAGGTCCGGACTTCTTTAGAATACTTAGTTTGAGGATGGACACGCCCATCATCTCGCCCAATATGTGAAAGTGTGCTGAGATCCATACTTGTTTACAATTGTGATGAGCAAGTGTCATGATTGTATCCTTGTTCGACATGTTTGCTTTGAACAATGTGTCATTGAAAACTTCAAGTAATGTAAAAGTTACAGTAGCAATCGAAGTACAAGCAATAAATTTTTACATACAAGTTGTTTTTCTGCGACAACACATGTCATATTACAAAAGAACTTCAAATGTTGCTTATTATTTGATCAAATCCACACTTTAATTGGCCATGCACAAAAGGCTTGGGCACGAACGCAAAGTTGTCAGTTACATGTAATTCAAGTGGTCACAAGTATGTGATTCTACGCACACACAGGAGACGTGATGTCAGTGGTCTTTGAGTCTTCCCATAATGAACCTCACACTCACACACTCGCCGAGATTTGTCTTTCATCCACACACCAATTTGTCATGTCGCACTACACAGACCAATATTATTCCAGGGCAATTATATGTACAACTTTGGTTGACCTCAACACAATTTGAAACAAGAAATGCAATGCGACGAATTTAATGGCACGAGAGACGAGTAGGACCTGACAAAGATTCCAAAGTCAACATTGATGCAAGACTGGCAGTGAGCATTCCAAAGACAACTCAAACTCGCAATGATAAAAGAAAGTAATGTCGTTGTGAAAGGGACAATTGAATAATGTCAGGATTAACGAAATATAATCCATAAGGAATGAAATATTTTGAAACGAAAGTTTCTAAATCAATCGAATCCATCAAAGACAACGGTTTTCCAAGATACATGATGCTAATTGTCGTCTAATATGCGGAATATCTTTACAAGAGAACCTGAAAGGTGGTCAATCACCACGTTGCAACAATGTCACAAATATCAACATAAACAACCCACAACTAGCTTCATCCACTTGTCTTGAAACCCCTTCCACCAGAACATTTGTTGCTCATGACCTCCAACTCCTACATGATCGGCTATGTAATGTTCAACGTTCCAAATACTATACAATCAAATCGAAAACACTAAGGTAAAAACTTGAATCAGCTATAATGCGAGGAAAAGAATCAAAAATTTTGAGGACATTATCTCTCAAGTTGACGGAAAGGAGGATCCAGTGATCATTATCTTTGTGGACAGGAACAAAGATAATAACATATCGAAGCAGATCCACATTTGTAGCCCACCTTTCTACCCCACCGTATCCTTGAAATTGCAGTTTACAGAAGAAGAACGAATTAAAGCTGAAGATTTGAAGGTCCGACAGGATGTCACTTATCGCACATGCGGTCGACCCCAACAACACCATGTAAAAATTACCCACCTCATCATTCACTCTGCCATCGATATGCAAGAGGGTGAGAAGATCTTTTGCCGCAATTCACAACTGACCGTCGGCGAGGATAGAGAGAACAATGTGAGTTGGCGCCGAGCGTCGTCTAATGTCGTCAAAAACCCGCAAGTTGCTAGGCGGAGTCGCTGCAACGAATCTTCCCCCCCGTGTTCCACGTGTTGTGGCCCTCACTACACAACATCGAGCAACGGACATGCAGGGTAGTGAGAAACGAAGTGTCTAAACATTGTCTTTCATTGCACGATGCTTTGCTAAGTATGTTTCATACATGGTCTGACCCCTACTCACAGATCGTGGATATGTCCCTTTCTCTGGGGGTAGAAGGGAAATACACTCCTCAATGGCAATTGCATGCTCTTTCTTCCCGATCTCGACATCAACCCGTGATGCCTTTAACATATCCTTGTGTTTCGTCGTCAACCCGGGGGCGTTTTGCAATATATGTTTCGGATATTCCGAGGACCTCTGTGTTCGAGATGACCCTATCCCTGTACAACAAAAGAAAGACAAAACGGAAAATGAATACACGTTTCCCAACACGAGTCCGATGAAAGTGACAATGTAAAAGAACCACATTACGTACAAGACGCAGAACCTCTTCAATTACAGAAGTCCGAATTTGCATGGTCATCAACACAGAGTTGTGTGTGTGGCGCTGAAGAACAAAAGGACAAGCGCATTCGAGCTTGAGACCCCGAGCTTAACAAAGGAAAACAACAACAAGCCACATAAGCGAAAGGCTAACATTCCCCGAAGTTAGGATTCCGACGGACTTCTTCCCACAATAGGCGGACAAAGACTAACCGCATCAAGCATCGACATAGGAAGTGCGGATCACGGCGGACGTAAGCTACAACTCTGTACGCGAAGAGAGAAAACATCATTCAATTGAGTTGGCCAGGTTCTTAGTCGGGGAGCGTGTACGACGCGGCGTTCATCACTGCTTACCAACCGCTTTATCCCTTCGCTCCTTCGTTGGAGACGCTGGCGCGGGCAAGCCCAGCACGTCGAGAGCTTGAGTGCCGACCCTAGATTTTTTCGGGGACGTGACATGTTGTCGGCCCCTGAGATCGCGCTCCCAGCTGCTGGCTAAGGTGGCGGTCAATATCGGAGAGGTGGGTGGTGAGAAAACGGTGGCAGAGGGTACAGAAGGTGTGATGTTGTGGCGGTCGTCCGGGACAGGCGCTGCAGACCGTTGCGCGGTCACCTGCTCGTCGCCACGTATCTGATCGATAACTTCAACGACGCTCAATTGTTGACTTCGTTGAGTCGGGCTCACAGCAGCGGAAACCTCATCGCAACGGTGTTGGAGATCGACTACAACCATCAGCGGTGGAACCTCGTAATCTTCAGGGTCTGCTGACAGGTCACTGATCACCTGCGTCTCCATCTCCATTATTGTCACATCGTCGTCGACATCAGGCCCCGGATGACCCGCTTAAAGCTGCCCGAACGAGTCAGACAACTCCTCACAGTCGGCATCCTCCTCATTGCCCAGCCGTTCCTCGTCTTCAATATCGAAATCCCCTTGTTCACCCTCTTCTCCTTCACTCAATAGAACCAACTCCTTTTCTCCCCCTTCCTCTCCTTCCTCCCCTTCTTCCCCTTCTCCCCCTTCTTCCCCTCCGTCCCTCCCATGCCATTCACAAATTTCTCCCAAAACCATGTCGAATCCCGCGGCCGGCTCTTCTGCCCCCACGTGCGTAGCCCCTCCTGTCGGCAAGATAATCCTTGCATGTGGAGCCCTTTCTGAAGAAGTCCGGATCCGGGTGGACTTCGGCTCATCGAGGTCAGCGGGCTTTTCACTCACGCCCGGTGCCTCAGTCGATGTAGTTCAGATTCTGGCGGATTTCGACGCAAGTTCCTTACCGGACCTGGCAGTCGGCTGTTCAGCAACATTCTCCCCCCTATCCCCGCCACCGCCTTCCGTTGACGTGGCCTCATGGTGAGACGAAACCTCACCCGAAGCGGTGGTCCTCTCTATTGTCCTCTGAACGTTTCCTCCGACACCCCCCGGAAGGGCTCGTGTCAAGGCCGTCAAATTCGTCCAAGAGTTCCAACCACTGCTTGTCTTGAAGTTCTTGAAACAAACGTTCAGCAGTGGAACCGATGGCTGGGTCGGCAGGCTGAAGGTTTCTCGAACGTCACTTTATCGACCACCGAACTCCTCGTGAGTTCCAGGTACTCGGCCTTGGACTGGCGCGGGTATGGCTCCCACAATCCTTGGTTGTTGATGAGGGCCATGATCCACTCGCCCTTCTGGATTGCCGGCTGAATAGTTCCCGGATGTCAAATCATGTCGTGGCCCCAGTCCGCCTCAGTCGATCGAGTGTGGTCTAACCCTTCGAAGTGAATGGTATCATCCTTGTGAGAAGGATGATGGAGCGGAATCGAACTCCCGGGATGCAACGGAGTCGGGGCGGCAGCCCGAGGTGTCAGTCTCGCCGGTGGTTGAAGTCCACCGACTTGCACAGATCGAGAACGCACGTGTGGCATTTGGTTGTTCCAACCACTTTCTCCAACTCCGTAACCCTCATCTGCGCCTCGAGAGGGTCAACGCCGAGCGGGGCAATCGATGTCACGTCCCCCGAGTCTTTCCAAAGAATGTGCACCACACCTTCGCCAAGTGCGATCTCCATACTCTTTGCCATATTGCCGGTCAACACGGAGAGGACCTTGTTCTTCAAGTCGGCGGACAACTTCTTGTTGAGGGCGAGTTTTTCCGTCGCCGCAATCGTCTTGTCGTCCTCGCACCCCATGTACGGCGGGCGATCCTTGAACAGTGAGGCGTCGTCAACGAGCTTCCTGCTCCCGTCCCACAACGCGGCATCCATTCCCTGCTTTTTGAACTTCACCAAGATCGCCTCCCTTTTCTTCAAGAAGGGGTATGTACGTGTCCAGTCGGTATCTCGTAAGTTCCCATGCTTGAACTGGTAATAGTTTCATAATCGCACCAAGATGCGATCGCACTTCAGCAAGTGCACTGCCTCCTGCACTCCCAACTTTCCTTGCTTCGCCAATGAAGCGGAGCTTGTTTGCACCCACACGACCTCGCAGTTGGGAACCTTCTTGAGCAACCGACACTTCTCGTTGTTGGTGAGGGCTTCCATAGTCTTCCAACAGTGTGGATCCAACTCGGTTACTTGAACGAACCAATCACCATACTCTTTCTCCGTCTTGCCTTTCTTTTGGGGCGCGCCGACGGGGACGTTGTAGACGACCTCCTTTCGCCCCAACTTCTCGTTTTCGATATGTCTCACGCTGAGCCTGACGTCCTTCACTTTCTTTTTCTTTGTGATCTATTTTGCTCCCTTGGGTGCCAGAAGTCTTATCGTCTCCCATTTGTCGAAGAGTTCCATTCCCAGTTCCCACGCGCTTTTCCCGGCCATCACCAGCGGAAAATAAGAATGAAGGGCAGCGTTCTATCTCTTAATAGCTAGCTTGCCCGTCTCATCAGCGATGATCCACAAGTGCTTGTAAGGCGTCTTTTGAAGTGCCATTGCATATAACTCACACCATTTCTGCACCTAAGCCTGTTTCCCGTTGGGGTTCCCATTGACAGCTTTTGGGAAACCCTTTCCTTCTACAACCATCGAATGTCCCTCATTGCTAGTTTGAGCTGTCTTGGAGGCGTCTTCAAGTCCTTCTTGTTGTCCTCCTCGCTGACCAGAAAATAACCTTCGAAGTCCTCGTCCGAGAAGTAAACCATACGAGCAGGCCGCCTCTCGAAGTTATATTGCAATGCGACTTCGGCTCCTAGCAGCGCTTTGGCTGCCGTCGCGTTGTGCTGCCCGAAAATAGTGTAATAATAGTACTCTCCTGCCAGCTCGTCCTTCCAGTCATCTGGCCTCAGACGACTCGCCCGTACGCCCGTTATAGGTTTCTCCAACCCTAGCGGCGCCAACTTAAGGGTAGCTAACTCGTACATCTTCTCAACATTTGAGAAGACTAGCTTCATCGCGTCAATGATGAGCTGCGTGTGCACGGAATCCAGGGACCGCCGATTGTATGACTGTTCCCACTCACCGATGTCGACGACCTGCAACGGGCTAATGAAGAATTCCCGCTTCATTCGCACGCCCTCGTTCCATTCCAGGAAGTACGTGGCGTCGATGTCGATTGGACCCTTCTGCTCGACAACAACCGACCCAGACTGTTTCTGCGCCGACGTCTGGCGTTTCCGACCCGATGTGCCCTCTCCCCCCTCAACTACCTTCTTTTTTCCCCCCGCCATCCGGGGGATCCTTGCCTCATGTATTTTCGCAGAGCACTCACCCTCTCCCAGAGGACCTCCCCTTCTCTTATGAGCTGGCTGCTTTTCACCCTCGTCACCCCCCCCGGCTGACGTCTCTGGACAGTAATGAACCGGGGTGTGTCCTTCCACCCAGGAGTACTCAGGATAGATCGGTCACCCCGCCTAAGCGACGAAATCCGCGTCTGCTCCTGTTCTTCATCATCGATGTCGTCGAATCGACCAGGGGCCTCGCCTCGGTGGAGCTGGAAAGAAGAACCGGAACCCAAATCTCCCCCTTCCATTGGATCACTGTTGGATTCAAACCCGGTGCACAGCTGAAGAGGCTGTGACAACTCTTGGTCGCCTCGAACGTGGCAGGGTTCCTCCACGTTGACGTTGTTCTGCTACCAAGTCAAAAAACTCTGGTGCAGAAACAACACCTCCCCCTGCGAGGTCTTTGTAGAACGTGGTTTTCACAGCCCCCGCACCAAACCCCTGGAACAGGTCGAAAGACAAAACAGCCCCTTTGGAATTGGCAACAATGTCGCCCTTCGCGTTGTAAACAGCGTGCAGCTTATGATGCTGTGTGTTTTCCTTTTTCGCAGCATGCCATCCGACAACCGCCCCAAGCACTCTACTTCTTTTTTTGTCCTCAAGGAATATAACTGGACCGCATGGAGGCTTTGTCGGCTCGGACTTATCCGCGTAGCACCAATCAGCAGACCATTTCGTATGCACATGATAGGACCACGATTTGGATGTTCGTGATTCCCTGCCCGAGGTTTCGGTCGGCTGCTCCTCGCCCCTTGATGTCGACATTGTGTCTGCATCGGTCCAAGAGACCAAAACAACCCAACACACGGAAGACATAAATAACCCACCCCAGTAGAGAGCTCCGGTTTCCGTAAACCCACATGTGACGCACCACCAAAGCACATCAAAGGTATTGGCACCCAGAGCAACATAGAAAAGAGGCATCTGTATGGAGTTCGGATACCGATGAACTAGACGAATTCGCCAGCCATCAGCGCAGATTGATAACGACATGCGATGATAAAGAGAGTGAGACTGTTTGTCGACTGCTGGACTCAGCAGTTCACACGCCCTGACCCAACACAAAGGCACATCAAACTCGTACCAACAGCACACAAACATGACAATAGACTGCACGAAGAGTCGACAAGTTCGCCGGCATCCGCACTTCTTCACATCCTGTTCACGCTTGTGCGAAATCCGGACACGGGCGAACTTGACGAAATCGACGGCAGTTCTTCACATCTTGTTCGCGCTTGTAGACTGCTAGACTTTGCGGTTTATACCCCAGTACCCGACAAGAAGGCACACCGAGTCCGCCGGTATCCCCACTTGTTCGCATCCGTCTTCAACCTTCATCCGAAGTTCGGATGCCGGCGAACTTGATGAATTCGTCGGGCAATATCGTAGGCGGATAACGGCGTGTGACTGCCAGACTCCGCCTCTCTCACCCCCAGACCCCAGTACAAGGCCCACCAAACTCGCCCCAGTTGCGATTGAGCATCCCAAAAGACTGCCCGAACAACCGATAACCTGCGGGAACCAGAGGGGAATTCTGTTTGACGAGTGTGAAACTCTGCTCAAAATACATCTGGATCCAACAAGAAGGGTCACCAAACTCGCCCCAGTTGCGATTGAGCATCCTGAAAGACTGCTCGAACAACCGATAAATTGCGGGAACCGCAAGGGAATTCTGTTTGTGCAGTGCAAAACTCTGCTTAAAACAGATCCGGATCCAACAAGAAGGGCCACCAAACTCGTCCCATTTGCGATTGAGCATCTCGAAAGACTGCCCGAACAACCGATAACCTGCGGGAACTGGAGTGGAATTCTGTTTGTGGAGTGCGAAACTCTGCGCAAAACAGATCCGGATCCAACAAGAAGGGCCACCAAACTCGCCCCATTTACGATTGAGCATCCCGAAAGACTGCCCGAACAACTGATAACCTACGGGAACCAGAGGGGAATTCTGTTTGTGGAGTGTGAAACTCTGCTCGAAACAGATCAAGATCCAACAAGAAGGGCCACCAACCGGGACCGGCACCTTGTGGCAATTGAGCCCACGGTATGTTCAGGCAACATGAATCTCTGCGCCGAACGAATCCAGAACTCACACCGAGGTCCCTTAAGAGTGTGTTTGCCAATCCACTAACGCAACCACCGACCGTTTGACACTTCTTGAAGGTGCTGGGGGGGAATTATTATTCAACACCACCGTCAAAACGTGAAGTTCGAATGCCGTCGAACTTCTCTTGTGGGCGAACCGCGGACTGCGCTGCACATGAGGGCGGTCTTCGTTGTTTGGATGCACAAAAGGCAAATCATTGAAGTTCGGATGCCGGCGAACTTCTTTTGTCCTCCCCCCAATGTTGGACCTCGAAAACCCTGGTTGCAGCATGGGTTGTTGTGGAAACACGAAGTTCGCTGGCATCCGATCTTCAAAATATTGCTGAGAAAGGATAACTATCAACGTGTTACCATAGAAACCATCCAGCCCGACGGAAACACAAAGTTCGTCGGCGTACTACTTGCCGCACACAGGTGGACTGCTCGACACCTGAGGGCGGTGTTCCTTGTTTGGATGCAGAAAAGGCGAAGCATTGAACTTCGAACACTGGTGAGAAACGACAACTGCTCATGGGCTACAATGAAAACCACCAAGTCCGCCGATATCCGAACTTCGACATGGGCCTCGGGTGGCGAACATATGAAGATCAGATGCCATCGCACCACAATGTGCAAAGTGTGCACACAGGAGGACTGCACGGCACCTGAGGGCGACGTTCGTTGTTTTGTTGCTGAAAAGGAAAATCATTGAAGTCCGGATGCCAGCGAACTTTTTTCGTCCTCCCCTCCCGTTCAGGGCCAGGAAAATCCTGGTCGCAGCATGGGTTGTGTGGAGATAAGAAGTTCGTTGGCATCCGAACATCAAATGCTGTCGAGAAATGACAACTGCTCGCGGACTACCATGAAAACCATCAAGTCTTTCGGAATCCAAACTTCGACCCGGGCCTCGGATGGAGAATATATGAAGTGCGGATGCCGGCACACTATAAAGTGTGAAGTGCGCACACAGGAGGACTGCACGGCACCTGAGGGGGGCACGTTGTTTTGATGTTGAAAAGGCAAATAATTGAAGTTCGGATGCCTACAAACTTCTTTTGTCCTCCCATCCCGATTTGGACCAGGATGACCTTGGTCGCAACATGGGTTGTGTGGAGATACGAAGTTCGTCAGCATCCGAACTTCGAATACTAGCGAGAAAGGACAACTACTCACGGAATACCATGAAAACCGCCAAGTCCGCCGGAATCCGAACTTCGACTTAGGCAGTTGGTGGCAGAAATTAGAAGTTTGGATATCGGCGCACTACAATGTGCAAAGTGTGAACACACGAGGACTGCACGTCGCCTGAGGGCGGTGTTCGGTGTATGGAGGCGGAAAAGGCAAATCAATGAAGTTCGGATGAGGGCGGACTTCTTCTGTTCCCCCCCCCCCGTCGAAACAGGATGTTCGCCGACGAACTTCATTCGTCCACTTGTCCCGTGCTGGAACTGGATGGCCTTGGTTGCAGCAAGGATTGTGGGAAAAGACGAAGTTCGCCGGCATCCGAACTTCAGATACTGCTGAGGAAGTACAACTGCTGACGTCCCACCGGTATAACGGGCGATTCTTCCAGCATCCGTACTTTTCCCTCCACATGTGGGTGAATATGTGAAGTTCGGATGCCAGCGGAAATTGTGCATTCACGCATAGTTTGCAGTGAATGCGAGCTTTTGCGCTTGCGATTGGATCCGACAATGCTGTTTCGATAAACGAGATTGGGATCCCGACAAACAACAACAACGTTTGAGCGCTAAAACAGTAGAACACGCATCTGTTGCTCTCAAACAGTCCTCCAAACAAGAGATCGGTCACGATCTGCTGCTCAGTGGAGTGTCTGATTGGACAAGCGATGATGTCTTCATCGATCGCATGTTCTTTTCGCAGGCGGATCGTCGAGCACGACAATGACGAGGTACACACACACAAAGACACACGTACGTCTGGCCTGATGACTTGTTTGAGAACCTGGTACAACTGGTTGTGGAAGTAAAATGTTGGGGACGTTTAGTTCATCGATACGATGATGGATTACTCGGACGGTACGACGGTTGGTCGATCGATTGCTTTTCATGATCGCCTGTTCAAATTTATTAGGCTTCGCGACTGAGCGCACATTCGCTTGCACGATACTGACATGCGGAAGCTCTCACACACATAGACATACACACACAGACACACACAGACATGCGCGCACACTTCATGGTTTGATCTGGGCGGTTTTGTGACTGCTCGATCCGTGGATTTGACGAGCGGTCTGTTGATCGTGACATGCAAACACATGCATGGACACAACATCGGGGCAGTCACGAACGATTTCTCGAAATCTGGATCCGGCCACTCGATCGGATCTTCCGCTCGTTCTGGCTCGTCCAATCAATGCCATCCAGCATTAGACAGACAATGAACGATCTGTTGATTGCTGGAATGATTGATTGGAGCATATGTTGATCTCTCGTCCAATCAACCCCGTCCATCAGAAGGATTTGTTGATTGCTCGTCCAATCAACCCCATCAACTTCTGCACACACACGCGCTGGCACATTTAAGTAAACTCACACGCGTGCATAAGTGAACGCAAATGAAGCAAGCAAAGCAACACATGCGAAAACACCAGTTGCCTCGCACAAACACCATTCTGTGAACACGCACGCCCAACATGGGTCGAACAAATGCATACATTGAACCGCACGTGCACAATCATACATACGCACACGCAACCGCGACCGTCGCGTTCCACCAGTGCCTTTTTTTCTCGGCACTCACCATGATGAAGATGTCCTCCGGAGAATGGATGGTGTGCAACCAAACTACAGCAGCGGAACTAGCTATGGAAGCAGAGCAACTGTCGTGGTGTGTCGTTGGATGACTTGCGTTAAACGAGTGGCGTGCATTTGAAGCAAGCTTGACAGCAAGTCGCTGATTGGCGCTAAAGCCGACGCAGATCACCTCGCGAAAGCCAATGCGAAAGGTGCTATGCGACGAGAGTGCGTGCGAAGTCTGTTGTGCAAGGAGGTA